CCACTTCGACTTCTTCAACTGCATCACTAGTAGTTGCGAAGCACGTAAGCTAGTCGTTGTTCTCTAGTTCGATATATCTAGGGCATTTGACATGGTATCTCACAGTATTCTCTTTGAGAAGCTGTACTCCATTACTGAATTCGCTGAAGTCATTTCTTAGCAACATAGCGCAAACAACCAATGTCAGGTCACTGCCCAATCCTACAAATATGAGGAAAATCATGTTAAGAAAGGGAACACAAATGGGACATTCCATTGAGAGGAAAAAGGGACAAAATTCGGAAATGCTTAGATTTTCCTCTTTTTCCCAGACGCCGCACACTGTCTCCGTTTTCGCCACATTGTCCCCCTTTTTACGTAATGATTTCCGCCTAATTAGTAGAATTTCCCCCTATTACTCGCATGTTTTCCCCTTAATCCGCGGAATTTCTTCCTATTACTGGCATCATTTTTCCCTTATTCTACTTACGTCAAACAACTCACAATTCAAATGAAGGTTCGTTATGGAAATAAATATATTTAATTTGTGTATTGGTTAAATGAAAAAAGTTAACAACAATTCGGCCAATGAATTCTTCGGGATTAATGAACATTTAGAGTTGCAAATGATGCATACAAGTAATAATAATATATCCTCATTTCTTACATGAGGAACGCCAGTTTACAGGCATCATCAATGCAGCACACCAAGAAATTAGAAATATTGTCTTCGCGTTAACGAAAAAACCCAAGTATGTTTTGGATGGATTAAAAATACTTGGGAAAAAATAAAGCTTGAAGTCATATGAAGTCTGAATGCAGCTTTACATCTGCTCCCCATCATCAAGTAGATCCATTGAACTATCCTGAAAAAGAAAAAAATTAGTAAGGTAGTAATCAACGGCGACACATATACAGACATTTGACATAATAATAATGATATATTGAACGTGTTTATTCAGCTTTAAAATTTTACTGAATTATTGAGCACAAATCAAATTATCTGTTTACATATAAGTACCTTAAGTGTGAGTATTTTTAAATGTTGAATTTTCCAATAAACATACAATAATAACTGAGTCATTATAGACGAACCATGTACCTAAGCACTTAGTTCATATAATTAACAGCAGTAGTTATGATAACGTTGACTTTACACGCTAATGGCAGTTGCATTTTAGATTTTTACAGCATTCATTTAATTAAATTGTCACTTACAGCACAGATGCTCTGGTCACTCTTCTTATCGTCAACAGCAACCTGTGAAAAATAAAAGCAGAATTTCGTTGATTGACATTCATGCAATGAAACGGTTTTGTAGTATAGTAACTTCAATTTAACAAAAACTGTTTGCTTACTCTTGGCCGGCTCCCCCTTTTTACCGCACGATCACGTGCGTCGTGGAAGTATGCCTTAGCAGTGTGTCTCAAAGTTTCCTAACTTCATCCTCGGGCTTCGTAGCAGAAGCGAACTTGCTGACATTGACGGCTGAAAGAAATATTTAAATAAAGCAAGTTTACACGTTATAACTTTATAGAAGTAGCATTTTGTGAGGGCTAACTTCTTTGGTGTTCCGTACGCTGTGAAGCGACTTGACAGCTTAGGCTCCCAAATATAATTGGGCATTATATTCAACGAAGACTGCGGATTAAACGATAAATTCCCAACTATTTTCGTCATCTGAACGTAATTGAAAGTTAATTGTAAACTTACGAATGAATCTCTGAATTTCGGGCTTTTCAGTGACGCTTCCAGTTGGTTAAACTCTTCTTCAGCCGCCAAGGGGAATTCCAGTTGACTGTTGTCAATGCATGACTTTCCGGTTCCCAAGGTGGTCACGTCGCTGGACTTATTTACTGAGACCAACTGCCTCATTATTTTGCCAAGGAAGTGTACTTCTCCTTTAAGGGACTTTACTTCTTCTCTAAGGGACTGTAACTCAGTCACCAATTTATCACTGGAATCAGTGTTTTCTTTACTGCAAAGTAACTATTGATTAAAAATAACATACGTAGTCTGCCTATTTGGCTGTGTGATTGGTGACGACGTCGCCACTGACGTTTGTGGACTGGAAGTACTGCAGGAGTAATAATATTAAATGAATGAGCTACCTGGTTGTCGGTGCTATCACAGTTTCCATGAAATGGGTGTTAGGGTATTTAGGTGGCCCACACACCTTCTGTGCCTCCACAGCTTGCAGTTCAGCTGAGTCATAAGCGCACGAGGCGAAGTTCTTCGTCTCCACTTTGTATTCTGTCATTAACGAATAAGAAAAATCTACTTTTGAAGTTTGGAATTGGTTAGGGGCAATGCCTCTTCCAGATTATCTGAATTGGACAGGATATTATGCAATCGTATTGCAGTTGACAAAGCACCATTGGCTTCTAGAAAAAAGTCTAATTATGGGAATGTACTTAACACCGAAACGGTTACTTTGCTCGGCTAACATCCGACAGGAAATTAAGAGCCAGTGCGGTCTAGGTTTAATGCATGCTCCAACTTCAGAATCTCTTACATTGCTGTGATACACGCACATATCATCCGACAGCATCCATTTTTTGCGACTATGAAGAATTCTTTTGTACCAGGTTTCGTTAACACAGCGTAAGTCTTCTTTTCGTTGTGTAAGAAATTAGTAAATAATAATAATAATTTACTTTATTCCAAAAACAGTACTTATAATACAGAATCGAATTCTCAGCATTTGTCACAATATTGCATCTGATTTACTCAAAGTGTATATAAAATTAAAAATTAAAGCAAAAATTAATCGGAGGAATTTGTCCAAATTAACGACATAATTATTAGATATAATAATAATAATAAATACTAATAACGGTGAGTTTGTTTCAAACGTTATTGTCGATTCAGTTTGGAAACTTTAGCATGTAATGGACAATTGGGTCTAATGTTCTGTTGATGTAGTATAGTGAGGTCAAATACAAAGTTAACAGTCATAATACAGCTTAAAATTATGATATAAACAAAATTTACAGTCTCATTAGTTCGCTTGTCATTGAATACAGGAATGTCGACGGTTGACGCAATCAGTCTAAGCAGTTTCTGGAAAAGTATGAAACAAAGGCACTGTTACTTCATACTTGTCTGTACGAATACAGAAGCACTTAAAAGTAATATCTGGCGGTTGAATTTCTAGCTTGTAGGGGCTGACTTTGGAGCATTTCCATACTCCAATTTTGGATGACTTAAATGGCTGGTCGAAGAAATCACAAGCATCTATATAAGGTCTGAATTTTAGTCCTTCCTTCCTTCCCGACCGAAAGCTGCTACCTTGACGTGGTGGTCGGGCTTGAACACCGCAATGACCCAACAAGCTATACTGGCTGAGATTTATGTCGCTTAAGGTCCTACCATGCCAGAAAGGTTGTTTGGATAGCGGTTAGACAAAAAGCAGTTACCCAACCCAATGGTATGACTCAAAGTAAATCACAAAATATCATCCCGGATCGGTCGTGGCCCGGATTAACAACGATCGCGCTTCCTGCTGCTGTGTCACAGGGCAGAAGTGATAAATATGCTACTGAGACACACATACTCAGTATTAGGTTGACGTCCGCATGCCGTTGATGACCTATGGAAAATTTTACAATGGGAGGCTTAATGGGTAATAGTAGCGCCAATGCTACAATCTACCTCCTGTACTGGCACGTGTGTACCCTGCCTAAATGCATCCGATTGAGTGGAACTAGATAAAAGCAAATCCGTCTGTGTATTGCAAACTTTATTTAGGTGCTTATCTTGTGGTTCCAAATTTGTCGCCCGTAACTCATGTTGAAGTCTACTACCATCCACTTCACAATCGCTCAGTTTCACGTGGTACGTGCTTTCGGTTTGAGCGAAAAAGTAAATGCACAGCAGTGTTATTAATCCCAGATATGTGGTGAATATCCGGGGTAAATAGTGAATTTTAGTCAAGATATCCTGATTTTCCTGTTGAATCAGTCTTATGTTGAGAGCAGAGGGAATGAGTTGTTTGAGGGGCGTGAAAATAATGTCGAAGTGACACACAGCATACTACATGGCTAAAAACTGTAATAGGTAGTGCATTTGGTTTCTGTAGTATCCAACTGCCTCGACAAAAAGAAAATGTTTGCTGAACGGATGGTCAGATAAAACAGAACTCGACGGATTGCAGATTCCGATGAGTCAAATGAGATAATTGAAGCTACAGCTGAGCCTGACTAATGCACGGCGATCCTCTTTGACCTCGTCGAAAGCAGTATAAACGAAAGTTTTTGCACAAGGGGTGCTCCTTCTCAGGTTTGTCAGCGGTTGCACAGAAGAATCACGCGGATGAGACGCCAACAGCAACTTAGTGAGCCGTTATTAGTCATGGATTTCAAGGGTTTTGTTTCTAAAATGCTTGAATTTGTCTCCGTATTGCTAGACACGACACCGATGCCCTATAGTCAGTGGTTTGGGGAATTAAGTCAAAGAATTCTACTCCTTTTAGGGGTTGCAAGTATCGACGTTCGCGAGTTGTACGGAGTATACTAACGCAAGATCTTATACCAACAACTTCTATAGTGTTCGCACTTCGAGTACCAAAGATAAAGCAGAAGACCAGATTAAGTCGTCCAAAGTACGTAGTATATTTCGGGACCAAATCGCGGGTTGAAGTGAATGCTTAGCTAGCTAGTAATCGTGCACGCACGTGACATGACGGAGTACCAAATGGCGGGGATGCTTGACCGGAAGCCTTCAGTTAAACAAGTCGACTTAAACAGTGAGGGTCAGCATCCAATGTTGAGTGACGATTGCTGTGGTCGATAACTTTGGGGAATTATTTACCGCTACATCCTATTTGAAACCTGGGAATACTTATAGTAAGAACGTTTTTAGGTGACCTATGAACAGTCTATTGCAAATTCCAGTGTTAGGATGTTGGCACCTCATTTTCAACAGCAAGCGGCATGCGTGGAAATTAAAACAATCTGAAAAGTGTGGTGATAGCCGTTTCAATAGGCTTCCAGTATAATATCGTCAACCTATTTTTGCCTATTCAACAGCGCTTTCTTAGAGTTGTGCGCTACATCTAGCTGCGGTACTTTAATTCCAATGATTATTCGTGTTCAATCACCAAATGGGACAAAGAAAATAGAATTAGCCGAATCTGAAAGTTATGATAAGTTTCTAGGCTTGGTTTGCGAGCGGTTTGGGATAAAAAGAAACGATGGTTGGTGCCTCTCGCGTACTCATAGTCACACTGAACGATTGAATTTTAAGTCGAATGCACGTATTTCAAAACTTGGTTTAAAGTAATGACTTCTGTTTTTTAAAATCATTTTGTTTGCAGGCATGGCGACCTTCTCTTCCTGTTGGATTTGGTCGACGGAGAGAAACAGAAAGTTTCTAATGACTTGGATTATGTTGGTGACAATACAACTGTATTAGCTGTAAGTATATGGTGTTATTTATTCACCCTCTTGATTGTCTGTTTAAGTTTGCACAGTCCCCTGGGTTTTCATGACTGGTTTTATTTGGTACCTTCTTTGAATTCAGAGACTTTGTTCGTGTAAGAACAAAAATTATAATTAGCTGAATGGACTAACCTCAGGAGTCTGGAGATTAATTCCAAGAATAAAGCGGTAATGCACCTAGGTGAGAAGTCTTACACGTCCTACCCTCTGGAGGACACAGAACTGCATGATGTTAGGGTACAGAAGGACTTGGATCATTGTAAGCCATGACTCAAAAACAACGGCAAATTGTAATCAAGCCGCAGCTAAGGCTCTTCGAATGCTATGGGCACTTCGAAGGGCTTTCAAACGATTAGACGAGGGTATGTTGGAAGTAATCCATGCAACATGTGTCAGACTTCATCTAGAATACTACATACAGCGGTGTCCATGCTTCAAGAAGGAGGCATATACCTTGGAAAGAGTACAGAGGGTAGGAACGAAATTAGTTAGTGGTAGTTCACACCTTTCTTATGATAGGAGAATGGAGCATTTAAATCTCTTCCCATTATCATACCGAAGGAGGAGAGGCGACTTATTTTTGGCATACCGTATATTAAGGCGTGATTTTAGGGATTGACCTTTCAAGTCTTTTCTCTCCCTCTAGGATACATTTATGAGTTGACCGCAAGGAGGTACTCAGACAGAGGTCGAACAAAATACGTGTGGAATTTAGATTCTCTCACAGAGTGGTCAACGACTGGAATTCCTTACCTTATTCAGCAGTAACAGCTCCATCGGTGAACGCTTTCAAAGAGAAACTAGACCGCTGCAGAGATATATATCGCAAAGATTAACATAGGCAACAAGAACGTTCTCTCCTTATAATCTGAATCAACTGATATGCAGGATAATTCACTTTGTTTCACACATGATTTAGTTAGATGCCCGACTCCCTTTTTTGCATTAAGGTCTTTCTGTGCATTCTACGTCCAATCTCACGAAGATGCATAGTAGTGGCTAATAATTACATATATTACATGCTTATTCAACTGGTCCTACCTAAATATTCATTACGATTAAAAATGTCTAATCATGATGTTGTATCTTACAAACCAAGAGGCTTTTTTCACTGGTGACATTAGCAACTTTTATATTTGAAGTATGGCATTCTACACTCACCACTGTAGATTTTAACAAGTTCATTCGAGACGTTATTAAGACAATGATTCTCTAGATACTTAAGATAAGCTGCTATATCCATCATTTCTGTCACGGTTAGGTTTATTGAAGCTTCACTCTTTCATTGTGAAAAGAACTGACCTTTCCACAACAGTCACTAGCTACGTTATTGAGTTACTTCCATAACATAACCATGAATTCTCACAGATAGAGTAAGAAATATATTCAAGACCAATTGAGAACCTGAATTTTATGCTAATGACTCTGAAAATTAAATAAACAGGTTGGTATTAAACCTTTTTTCAAATTGCAACAGTGTGTATCAAAAATCAATAGACACAAGTAGACTGAAATACTAATTTTGACATACATGACTCCATGATTTGAAAAATTCTTCAGTCAAATAATCAGTCGTTTGTTAATCTACCCCTTAATCGTAGCCATACAACATCACTCCTAACTATTAATCATCCGTCTTTCTCGACAGAAAGACTAGTATGCATTGTGGAAGTATCGCTTGAATTTACTAACAAGTGCTTGCTAATAGGAATATGGATTACGACATTAAAAGACAACACAGCACAGAAAGTTTCCTGTATAGATGGAATCGTCTTCAGTGGGTGTACAATCGTATTTATGTTTACCAAAAACGTTTAGTAGTCCATTATTGAGTAATAAGGGCAGGGAGGTAACAGGGAGGAGTGATACAATTACTCATAAGTGGTGTCTAAATGAAAAATTAGCATTAAGAAGCAATAATTTTCCCAGAACATAAACCTTATGGACTTTCTTTTTACGCCAAACTCTTTCGGAATATACAAAAGTACTCATATAACTATTTAAATCTGTTATACATGTAGCAAACAAATGACCTTGATTCACAAAACAGTCGTAAATGGTCTTCTTCGGGGATAGTAGAGGATAAAGTTGATCAAGAAATGGCAAAAATGGATGGTCGTATACACCGGAAAAGAAATGAACAATTGTAAGCTCTTTAAAGTTGCGTTTTTGTATTTTATTTATATTGATTTCTGTGCATAGTACCCGGCAGTTTCTGTATTATCAAAGACATTTTCAACCTGAAAGAGCAGAAGTTGTTAGTTAGTATTTTAAACTCAGGTTGCTGTGACTCCTACTTATGACTAACAATAGCTTGTATTCTTGTAAAAAAAGTCTGTGAGACATGGGCATTGAAAGTGATGTATGTGAAAAAGCTACTTGTCTTTAACTACATGCATTTGCATCTTGTTTCACTTTTTCGTGGTATAATATGGTGAGTTGTATTGAAGTTAAGCGTAGAATGTTAGGTGCGGAAGGCGAGTCAATCGATGAGGTTGTAGTTACATCGATTGAGATGGTATGGATACGTGTTATTGATCCTGACATGCCGCCTGTCTCGTCGACAAATGCCAGCTGACGTGGTAGTAGGTCGAAAAAGAGATGTAGAGATATATAGAATCAATCCATGACTGCCTGGTTTCAACGTAGAACTTTGCGCAGAAGTGCAGCAGTTGGAGTTACCACACTCCGTGCAGCACACAAAGGAAGGAAAGAGAGTAGAGGGAGGTTCAAAAGACAGATAGTACACAGAGGTGTCAAGCAAAAGGAATAGTATTATGGGAGAACTAGCTAACTCTTTCGCAACCTGATCCATCCAGTGTCAGTCAGCTAAGATTTCCGGTCGGTCGATGAAGCCGATGACTATGCTAGGCATGCGTAACACATGTACTAACCGGTGTAACCTCACAACTCCGATTGCCACCTGTTTCCCTGATAAGTCTAAATAGTTGTCTGGTGTTACCAATAACCGATACCGTTTCCATCTCTTTCGCTTATGTCACCCACCACTGTTCAAGGTCGTCGCAAAGACTTCTTGTTAGTTTGCGTTTGAGCCGGTTTCACTCGTCATCATATTTGGAGCTCACCGGAATCAGTCTTCTTGCCTTAATCAGTTCAGATGAGGTAGTAGAAATCCACTGGCTCTTAGTAACTTTTGGTTTATGTTATTAACAGCCTTTACAGCTGTGTCTACAGCTAACTTTATGGAGTACCAGGCTTTCTCCGGAGGAGTCGTGCTGTCGATCTCAGATACTCGTTTTGTTATTTCTTGCTTAAATAGGGACTCAGTGTCTTGATCTAGTTGGATGTTGAACTGCTCCGCTGCCATTTTTTTTAGGTTCGTTTAGTCGTAAGCATAAACGTGGGTGAAGTAAGACGTGATCGGAGTCCACGCACGTGTTCCAGAAGAAGCGACAGTCTTTTACTTACCCTCACCAACGATACCCTATCGCTATATGGTCTATCTGAGTCCAGCGTTGATTTGGTGATGAAGGTCGACAGGTTACGCAATGTCTTTGTGCCTAGAGTTAATGCTGACTAGGAACAGATGATTTTCTGAAGAAAACTGTAGAAGACCTTCATCGTTGTGGGAACGCCATACGTACCAACTACATACTTCTCAATCTGGCACAACTTCCCTACTTGGGCATTGAAGTCGCCTGGTAAAGCAACTATATCTGAGCGCTTTGCTTTTTGCAGCAAACTAGACAGTTTCTGGTAGAAGTCATCCTTTAGTTCATCCGAATTGTAGTCTGTTGGGGCGTAACTGACTTGGATTATATCCTCATTTAGTTATAAAAATTGTAGGTGAAGTCAGGTTGTATAGAAACACAGAATATGGATTGAGTCAAGTTCATGTATATTCTATAAGCAGTTGACCACACTTACTGTGTAAACGTTGATAATAACATCGTCTGCCTAGTCAAATCATAATATTATATTTATAATAGAGTTTGAACCTGTGTTGCTATATTTCATCATATATTTCTAGCGGGGAGCGCTCGACTTCTTTGCTTACGGAAGCTGGTGTACCTTATTGTGCTGTACTTTCTCCATTTCTACTTTATTCCTTTTCGCATGACTTACCGTATTCTCTTAAACCCAAACTCGCTAAATATGCGTATCTGACAATTTCTGTCTCAGTTGTATCGGCATTAGCTTCTTCTAGTATGAAGAGTTTTCTATCTGAAATTAACCACTGATTTTAAACTGGACCCCTCTAAATATCAGACTGTTAGTTTTAATTTCAGGCGAAAACAAAACTTGTGTGGACTGACTCAGTCCCATCATTCTTGTAATATCAATGGAACTGTGTTTGGGAACAAATCGAAACTTTGTTGCTCATCTCATATCTTGTTGATTTCTAGAAAATCTTTCATTTGACCTATCACATAAGAAAGTTGAGACTTCTTCGCATGACTCCACCTCTTCTCTTATAATCTGTTGATTCATGCATGCTGTCTATACTTCTTTATTGTACCCCACTCTGTTATTCTTCCCTTGATTTCTCAAGAAGAACTATGTTATGATACGTAGGACTTTGAAGACTATAAACAGGGTTAGTGGCATGCCTTTGTTGTTAATAAGCATTTCACTTCTTGCAAGAAATTGACTAGTGGTCATCTTGTGGGATACTAAACATCCTATTTTGGCTCTTCGTATCTTTCTCCTTTTGCATCTTTTCGGGTAAAATGAGAAATTGTGTAACAATTTATGCTCGTACCGTTAGTTATAAAATTCAATCATACCGCTTATAGCATGGATGTTGTGTGAAAGGAGACAAATGTGAGGAAAGAGCTTATAAACCTATTCTATCTATAATCTGTAAATAAACAGTAACTTATTACATATACTCTTCCGTTATCGACTTCTGTCTTGTTAGTTTAATTATGATTCTTACTGTTTTATTTATTAATTTAAAAAAGGAGATAAAGTTTTGCGATATGTAGACTGCTGAAAATTCTAATCCGTATAATTATTGTTGCTTGTAATAAAGTGATAATAATAATAATTATTATTAACTCAGTTCCGTAGAGTAGATATTTCATACATCAGGCTATGAGTTTTTTTCTTTCCTTCACGTTCCCCAGTGGAACATGGGGCTTCAAGCTAGTGGCTTGAAGTTTCTGTAGCAGTGTTTATTTTACAGGATGGGGTTGCTAGCCTCATGCCCAACCTTTCCTCTTGACCAGCATTATTTCTGCCTTAGCGAGGTAAAGGAGTGCGTCGGCCGAAGATCGAACCCCGGACCATGTGAATGGTCGGCGAGCGTCCTAACCGCTGTGCCACTGACTCACAGGCTATGAGTTACATAGTTATTTTGTCAGAGCTGATGATACTACTCAGTTGACCAGGCTAAAGTAAGTTGTGTAGGATTCAAATCCAAGACTCCTTTGGTTTGCAGTTGAGAGCTTAAGTTGTGGAGTCATATCTTCACCACTCAATATTTATATGTCGACTTTCATTGTGGAAAGCTTTGATCAATTGATTCGTAGTTCGATTCCTCCATACTAATGTGTCACGTCTATGTGTCCTGTACAAATTGGCTTTCTTAAGGTAAGGTTAGTAAGATAGTTTTCCAATATGAGAGACCTCCTTTAAATCTTCATCTGAGGTTGAGATATACTCATAGTATTTTTTTGTTTATAATTATTTTTTATATTTTACTGTTAAACCAAGAGGTGACATGTACTTACCGATCAAAAACCTAAATTTCATGCTATAAACTGGGAATTTATTGGTTATTATAACATAAGTAAATAAGTAGTTATAATCTCTAGTGATATTGCCGTTTGTTTGGACACTAGGTAATAACTAATGTTATGCCTCCAGTCCTTGTGATGTTGGTGTAGAATGAATTCTATCAGTCAAGTTTGCCATATGGTCATCAAGCTAGATGGCTTGACATTGTGGCGGACTTTGGATTCACGTTTGATGTCCCGAGGCAATTTTCAGGAAGCTCTGCATGACCTAGGTTTTTATGGCTTGTTGGCAACCGTCAACACCAATACCAAGGGCACTAGATGCATGATACATTGGTTACTCCTTGGGGAGCAGTGTCCTTATTATAGCAATGCAGGAGACCAATTGCGATCCAGAATAGCTGACTGACAAAGTTTCTGAATATAACGTTAAGTAAAGTGGATTTAAATCCCAAAATAGACATGAGTTCCTTTACAACTGCAGATATGCCCTGCTGACAAGTGCCAACAGGTATGAAACCTGGGTTAGGCAGAGCTTTCTGCCGATTGCCTCCAACCTTCTAAGGTCATTATTATTAGTATAAAGTGATCGTACGTTGAAGTCCCCCATTTACAACATTTCGACCACGTGTGTTATTGTCGTGTTGTGTTGTGTTGTGTTGAAAAGTAACAGCAGTAGTAAAATTACAAATTCCAGTATTCTTATCGTTACTACTGTTATAACACTTACACATTTGATTACTTGCTGACTTACCTACCTTTTTTTCTAGGTGTCATCATTCTGTATCTGGACAATGCATTCATTGTGTTCCCCTTGAGGTAAGCCCTTATGTGAATGATTATTTCTTTCACTCAGCCTCTTTTTCTCATTTAAAAGAAGTGAATATTTTTTTTGTCTTTTAGGCGTGATATTAAGCGAAGTATTAAAATTCAAAGTGATTTTGTTAGCTACATTCACTATTCCTAATAAGTTTTGTATGCAGTTATTCGACAACAACCTGCATTGAAATGCTGTTTGGCGATGATAGAATCCAGTTGCCAAGATTGAATTAGGCTTAGAGGGATTAGCGCCCGTGACCTTTTGGTCGGAAGTTGAATGCTTAAGCCAATGAGCCATAACTCCACAGGCTTAATGATGCTAACTGGCTGTTAAACCTCTTTAGCTGGAGCGTTGTTCGAACCCATAATCCAGTGGTTTGAAGTTGGGTACTGCGTAACCAAGGGACTACAGTTTGTATACCTACTCAAAATATTTCACTGTATGTAATTATTATTATATATGGGTCTTTACTTGACATGTGTGACACATCTCCTAGCCATTTCAATCGATACAACTTCCCCTTCTTACCTAATACTCTACGTCCAACTTCACTACTCGTGACCATATTGTGGTGTAACGGAAGAAGAAAAGGAATGTTTACTTGTAATTTGAAGTATGCACATAGGGAAATTGTCATTTGCACACAGATCTTCTGTGTTGTGCTACTTCTGACCTTCGTATTGTGTCTCTTTGTCTTCTTTTCGTGTTTCCCATGGTTTGCTTCTATAGCGGTCCATTTCCTCTTTCTAGCGTCAAATCTATCTCTCCGCTATTTGAGGTGTCTTTGCTGATAAACGTCTCTTCACATACTAGTGATGAATCTTGTCAGTAGCACACACCACAGTAGTACCTAAGATGAGAGATACAACGCAGAAACCTGTGGTCAAACATAATCAGCCTTCTTCATACATTCTACTTTCAGTGATTATTTTTCATCTCTGTGAAGAAAGACGGAGCCAATTTGCTGCACAGTACACACATCGTTTGATCGGTAGCATCTGTTGGACAGAATGATGTGCAATGGTTGAGTTCGAGAAGTAATGAAATCACCACTACTGTAGTAGGCTGTTAATAACATTTTAATTAAAAGGAAATGTTACCAAAATGTTTAACATAAAAAGTTGAGTAATAACAACTGATCTGCCTTTACACAACAGATGGCGAAGTAGCAGTAGCTGGTTGGGTTCACTTCTTCAAGGGAACACCATCGATCACCGGGATGCAAATATGTCCACTTGATAGACTGAAAACAAAATAAAACACGTGTCCTGTACCCCGATACCGGTCACCATGTAACATTAGGTTAAAATCATTAGCGTTATGGTATGGTTTTATATGTCAACAGCGATATCAGAAAGTAGTAATAATTTGACTAAATGATTCATTGATTATATCAAATCAGACGAGTAATGAAGAAAAGTTGTAATTATTTGAATACAACGCTGAGGCCAGTGCGTTGTGTAATTGCAGAATTTAGTCATTGTGGTATAATACAATTCCATATCAGTTAGTTGGAGGTTAATTGGCAGGAAGCCTTAGACCTAAGTTTCATCCTTGTTGGCACGCGTCAGCAAGGCGTATTTGCAATCTTGAATAACATAAGTCCAGGGGTTCCTACTGATCGCCTTCACTAACATCAATTCAGAGGCCTCTCGAGTGAGGTCGGTGCCTACACTGTAAACTTGTCTGATGTGACTTAGTCTGCACCAAATGAAGGGCTAGACGCATGACACTACCTACTGTCTAATCAAGATATAATTCCTTATTAGACAAATTTATTGGATTGTATATATATATATATATATATATATATATCAATCCCAATTGCTTAATGTGTAATGTTATCTGATACCATGACATTTCCCGATTAATAAATAAAAACTGGAAGTGTATCACTAATTTATGCTACTTAATTTAATTTCCCGATTGTTTTAATATTCTCATGGAAAGGTTAACAAATGATATACAATTGTTCCTCAAGCATAAATACACACACAACATTGTATACCGCATACATATATATATATCCGTGCTGAGATTTAGTCAGCGATCAGCCCACTGGCTCTGCTTAATTCAACATCCCAACCAGTTCACTCCCTCCCTATCTTTAAGGTAGTAGTCGATGTAGTCCAGTGCTTTAGCACCGATCATCTTACAGTTGACGCGAGGGGGGGGGGGCGGATCGCATGAGAAACATTCGAAGATTGTTGCTCCTCAAATTGTGTTCAGAAGACTCTGCATTGTGTGTGTGTGTGATGATCAGATTGTTCGAATAATGTTATGAATGCGTAAATACATGAAAGTATATTTTTTTCACATAAACTTCATCTTTATAATTTAACACTATTCAAAATTTATTAGTGTACGGGGTTCAGCTGTCTTAAATTTCTCTGGCTACTTTGTTTTTGCTTTCCTCTTCAGCCTTTTGATTCGGAGTATTTAGAGCATTTAGATCCACCTGTGAAATTTATGTCATTCCATGCATATCTACGTAAATTAACTGGTGGTCAAAGCAAGTAAGTGAAATTCACTATGATAAACTTTTTATTGAATCGCGCGCCTTGTTTTATTTACTTTCCCTCCCACCTCATTTCGTTGTCTCTTTATGTCGATATTATTATTTTCAAGAGTTGGTTTGTAGGGATTTGATTTATTTTTAAAGTCTGACCACGGATTGATATCAGTTAGAGAACCATTGAAAACCAGCAGGGGTTCGAACCCAGGACCTTCCAGTTACAAGGCAAGTTAAAATCACGAACTGGTAGAAGTTAGAATTTATGGACTGGCTATTGAGTCGGATCCCAGTGACTTGATGGTCTACGAGCTTGCCTTGTAAGTGAAATGTCCTGGGTTCGAAGTTCTGTGAGAGTGCGTACTGCCGATAAGTCTCAAACTGCAACGAAACAGCTGTCCAGTACTCCCTGCTGGTTCTCAATGTTTTTCTAATTGATACGGATCCGTGGTCAGACTTGAAGTATACTATTATTAACTATAGTATTATTCCCTTGGGTCCCGAATAGAACATAGGGTTTCAGCAGCATAACTCCACTTTACCTTGTTCTCTGCTGTCATTTTTAGCCCGCTGCATAATATCCCTTAAGTTTTCATTCCCTCTTCTTACATAATCTCCCCCATGTCATCTTCAGATTGACATCTCACTCGTCGTCGTTATCTATTCGATATTTGTTGAGTAGTAGCTTCTTAGTTGATTCGTTACCAGAGTCCGCCTTTTTTCTTGTGCCCTCTTGGCTGACCATCTGGTTTTCAGTAAATCGAGCAAGTGATGGCTGTTATGGATAGCAATTGCCAGAGTAGCCTACTTCTTGTGAGACTGGTCAAGTCTTCGAATTGATCTTGGATTTGGCGATATTTCACCATTAATTTAGCGTAACTGTAACGTGTTTTAGTTAAAAAAACTGTAAGCTTTTGAATTACTAAATATGTGGTTCAGTCTTCTTATTATTGTAAGACTGGCGATCACACGATAAGTGTAACTGGTAGTCTAGTAAACAAATATATAACTATGCACACATAGAGATAATGGGATTTAGTAAATCTCGTCACGAACCAAATATCAGTTAGAGGTAGACCATTGAAAACCGGGGGACACTGGACAGCTGTGTTTCCTAGTAGCTTGAATCTCTTCAAGAGTGCACACCCACATCCTCATCAAGAATCGAACCCAGGACCCTTGAGTTACCAGGTTAACAAGATCGGTGACTACTCATCCACTTCAGCTGGAATTCAGTGACTCGTGAATCCCAACTTTTGTTAATCTGTTGATTGTGTGATATAGCGCTGCCCATAACCAATGCCTTCGACCGTACTGACCACGACTCCTCAGTACAATTTTTAGGACATCCACCTAGTCGTCATCACTGAACTGACCATCGATATCTAAATTATGGATATTTTTGTAGAGATTTATTTTACTTTTATTCATCAAACACTCTTGATGAGTCCCAGACTATGATGAAACACCTCTCCAGTTCTCTCTAGTTTTCTATTATCTGTAAATGATGTTGATTCGTGGTACACTACTTTGAGGTTTATACATGTCATTATTCTTCATTACTATTAATATTTTGAGTTACACTTGAGAACATGTAATGACCTTATTTTTATGTAAGTTGGTTCGAGTACAATCAATCTATGAGGTTTACGAAGCCATATCGATTGAGATGGCTAGGGTGTGTGTGTGTTGTTCATGTCTATCCATCGCCTTCCTCGTTAAGCATTGGTAGCTGGTGTGTTGTTGAACAGCCTGTTTGTGAAATATGGACTACGAAAATACTCAGTCATTATATTGCATATAATTTCTCTTGTTCAGTTTGTTTTAATCTATTAGAATACAACCTCTAATGGTATTTTCTACTCTCTCCAGTATTTAAAATGTCTACAATCTGCTGATTTTTACAAGTTTCTACTAAACTTGAGAAAAAGAAAAATTATGGGTAGCAACGTATTCCAATAGGTGAGATAAGTGTGTTCCTGATATTTTCAGTACAAACTGTCACCGCGTGAGCAATAAGACTAATTACTCAGGTATCTTCAAATATTGCGCAGTAATTATCTCCTTGGGTCAGACAGTGTGCTTCTGCACCTTGCTTAATTGCCTTTCAACGAAGTGTTGTGCACTTCTCGAAGGAGGGAGGCAAAGAAGCAATGTTGTGTAAGGGATTGGTTTTTGTTTTAGGTCAGAGAGCAGTGTTTCGCTCGATTCGCTGTCAGTTACTGTTTTACTTGAAGGTGCTGGACAAATAGAAACTATTAGGTAATAATTTCCACTGAAAATTCTATACATTATATAAACACTCTTCAAAATAAAGCTATCATTATATGATGAAAAAAAATCAAATAATGGCGTCAATGCAAGAAGTCTTTGACTGTCGGTTAACATGGATGGAGGTGTAGACCGCCTGGTTGGGGGTCCTCAGTATACTAAGAACCAATTGCTAGAGACTATTGGTTGTATGATTCGAACCCGTTTTCAGTAGTGCATCCATTCGTTGTTATCTCCTAGATCCATTAAGTCCTCATGTTCCATGTAATTATTCGTTCTACTGGACATTTCTGCTCACTACAGTTCTTTGGAATTTCTTTTCTTTTCTTTACCTTTTTGCTATGTATACAGTGTATTAACTTCTTCATTTCTAGGCAGAGTTCTACGCTGAACCTCAGTTAGTCAGTTATCACTTGAATTTCCTTTTAGATTTCAAGACATTTTTCTCATCATTTCCATCATTGAAAACCATGGAGCACTGGATAGCTATTTCTACCCAATTCGTGACTCTTTACCAGTTCTCACTAACAGTCCGATTGTAGAAATCGAATTCAGGACCAGTCGTATGAAGCTGAGTGTTCAATTGGCTCAACTTTTGCCCTGAAAGTCTTAGTTTTGATCCCCCAAAGATAGATTGGTGTGTATTGATGATGAGTCACAAACTAGGACGAAACAGTTCTTTGGTTTCCAATGATTCTTCAACTGATGTGTGCATTGAAATAGGTGTTCATCGATTTCTAAAACTCTCTTCTTAATCTGAAAATTAAAATTGCCCATGAAATAAGAAATGAAACAGTGTCGCAAATTAGTTTTTACCTTCAATTGTTAGGCATGTGAATTCATAACTGAATAAAAGATTACCTGTCTACAATTTAATTGTATGCATTTCTTTAGGGGTAAATTTGCATTCTTGGAAAATTTAAGCTGCCGTATCCGTCCAGGATGTCGTGATCATCCTGCCTGGCCTGATGGTATTTGTACAAAATGTCAACCGAATCCAGTAACCTTAGAAATTCAAGCATATCGTCATGTGGATTTTGTACAATTTGAAAATCCTCAATTAATGGATACATTTTTAGACTATTGGCGACAAACAAATTGTCAACGTATCGGTATTCTACTTGGACGTTATGCTCACTTTGATGCACCTGGTTCCCCACCATTAGCAATAAAAGCTGTTGTCGCTGCAATTTATGAACCAGCTCAAGTAAGCAATTTAGGTTTCATGACTCTCTTGTTTCCTAATCAAAACTGGTAGCATTTTTTTCGTGATATGGATTTAAAATACAAACAACAAGTGTTAGTAAAACAGGATTTAATGAATTCATCAAATTTTCTTAGAATGCTTCACCGGAATACACACGACTCTCGTCGATTTCCTGAAACATTTTCAACTGTGTATATCAATTTGTGTTTGTGTGGAGGCAAATACATAAACGATTGTCTACTCGCATGACAGAGTATTTGTCCAAGTGGTTGAAAAAAAAACACACACTGAAACCAAGGTATTATAAAACACAGCTCAAGGACAATGTGTCTAATGGACTAAGAGTTATTATATTGACACGCAAGACTTTCAGTCTTATTGATGAATCCTCCATTTGCGTTGATCATTTTGTTCAACTGTATGTATGAATGAGATCACAGTCTGTTGCACTCAGATATCTGATGGTTAAAACTCAGTTACGCTGGTGAAATTTTTCGTGTACACTAGACTATGAGCCACATTCATAGTACTTCTCACTTACTGGAATGCGGTACCTGTTGCAGCTATGAACTGAAGTCAAGGAGTCACATCTTCATGGGTATGGCTCGCTCAAGTTGAGAAAATCTAAACTAATTATTTGTGCTCATTCAAAGTGTGTTAATTATCAATCTGCTGTTTTAGATTTGGTCATTCAGGTGAGTTAATTAGTCACTGAACGCGTCCACTTTAATCCCTATTATCATACACATTATAGATAAAGATCAGTTTTGAAGTAATATTTCACGTGTGGAATAGGTGAAAAAAGAATGTTAAATATCGTTCAACTGTCACTCAGTAGATTTAGCAGGGCTGAGCTAAAATCTCTACTTTGGTTGTTCAGTGGTAGGTAGAACACTCGTCAACCACACACACATGAGATCCAGGTTGGATTTCCGGCCAACACAATCCTTAATCTCTCCTGGAGGGCTGTAAACCTGGTGAAGAGAGAAGATTGCACCTGGGGCTGACGACTGCCTCACTCCCCTTAAAACGAGACAACACCACCTCCACTGAAATTTCGAATCCTGAAGTCCTATTTTCCACCTAAGACGAAAAGAAATCGATGTGTTTAGACTATTTCCCTCATGAGACTAATCTTTCTAAACCTGAGGATGTCATCCCTAAAATAGAAATAGCACTAAGTGGGATAGACAAAACTATGGCTGATGAAGTACGGACACAATGTGCACTGACATTAAAACCACAAAAATGTGGAAAGCCTAACCTGACAAAACAAGAGATAGAAGCCCTGAATCATCTTAAGAATAACAAGGATATAGTTATCACAAAGTCAGACAAAAGAAATGTAACAGTAGTATTAGGTAAATCAGACTATTTGGACAAGGTAAATGCTCACATACAAACAGGACCATATGAGGAAATTAATAAACCAATAGATACAGTTATGAATAAAGTTATGAAATCCACAGCGGATCTTATACGCCGAATGAAGCCGTTTCTAGGTGAGTCTAAGTGGTTTAATTTAATGCCCAAAACTAATAACCCCAGTAGGATATATGGTGTTGTTAAAGTTCATAAGTCAGGATACCCTATTAGGCCTCTAGTTGATTTTAGAAATTCACCTACATATGAATTATCTAAATATTTAGCCATGGTATTAAATCCTCTAAAAATCCACTCGAAATCTAGACTAACTAATTCTTATGAACTAAAACATAGATTAGATAATTAAAAATTAGATAATGAAGAAAAAATGGTTAGTTTTGACATTGTCAGTTTATACACACGTATACCAATAAATATGGCTATGGAGGCAGTTAAAAACGAACTCATTTCTGACCAAGAACTCGAACTTAGGATAAAAGTGCCCCTTGAGAACATAATGCTGCGAGTACAGCTATGCCTGACTTCCACAGTATTTAAATTCCAAGGGAAAATATACAAACAAACTGAAGGAGTTGCCATGGGATCACCAATATCCCCAGTTGTAGCAGATATATTCATGGACAGGTGGGAGAACATAGCGATTGAAACGTTCACCTCCCCCTCCAAAAGTATGGTGGAGGTATGTAGATGACACGTTCACTGTATTTACAACACAAGATATAGATAGGTTTTTCGAACACATCAACTCGAAGGTTGAAGCAATTCAATTCACTTATGAATTGGAAAATCAGGAAGGGGAGCTGCCAGTGTTAGATCGCAACGTAAATAGGAAAGAAGATGGGAAGTTAAACACTAGTGTTTACAGGAAACCCACACACTCAAACAGATATTTAGACTTCCGATCGTCCCATCCTATGTCAGTAAAAATAGGATTGGTGAAATGTTTAAATGACAGGGCACAAAAACTAAGTAGTAACAAAGAAAATCTAAAACAGGAACTGATACACATAAAAGAAGCCTTGAAACTTAATAATTACCCTGATAAATTAGTCAGGAAATATGTAAGGAAATGTAAAAATAAAATAAAAAATGATAGTAGTGATAGTGATAATAACAATAATAATGATAATAATAATAATATCGGTGACGACACCAACAATAAAGAATCTAAATCATCAGTAGTAATTCCATACAAGGAAGGAACCTCGGAAGCCTTGCGCAAAATTCTTAACAAGGCAAGAATAAAAGTGGCATACAAACCCACAAACTCAATTAGAAACAAGCTTTGTCGGTTAAAGGATCCTGTAGAACCTTTAAAACAAAACAATTTAGTTTATCTAATACCCTGCAATGATTGTCAGGTCAAATACATAGGTCAAACTAGTAGAACAGGGGCAGTCAGACTAGCTGAACATAAAAACTTAGCAAAATCTAGATTGGTTGATCCAAATAAGATAAGAAATCTAGAGAGTAGTTTAGCTATATAACTACATGCAGTTACACACAACCATACAATAGGATGGGATAAGATGGCATTTTTAAAGTCTAATGTCACAGGGTATAGGGAGAGATTGATAACAAAAGCTTTGTTTATTGAATCAACTGCAAATACATGTAATAAGAATGACTCATCGCCTGTCCCCGATATCTGGAAAATTCTCTTACCCCTACGACAAATAGGAGAAAACAAAGAAAACTATAAAACTCAAGTGTCAAAGTCGTGTGATTACAATTGATATGATTATGAACAATAAATTTTATTCGAAACGTCATCCAATAAATAATACTGTTTCACTGTGTGATATATCTAATAAACAAACTAATATGGAGTTTCTAAGCTAAGCAAATAGATGGAGATCTTCAATAGGGACATGTATACTACATACAGGTCATTAAAAACTATCCCGATAACTTTCCGATTGATCTATTATTATTATTATTATTAATGTTATTACTATTTCTTCAATAGGAATCCACATCTAGATCAGTGAAACTGACTGGTCCACTTGACAGTGTCTTTCCAAAACATGTTGCAGAAGTTGCTAAACGAATCGGTTTACAACCTGTTGGATGGATTTTTACAGATTTAGTTGCTCAAGATCCTGGTGGCAATGGTGTAGTGAAGCATTTTCGTGGGTCTATTGTAAGTTTAACTTTGTTCTTTGTTTATTTATTTATTTTTTGAGCAATTAATTTATACTCCATCAATGTTTGTAATGCTTTAGTTTTGAAAAAAAAGATAAGAAATTAAATTTTCATGTCTTTTCCTAAGTAGATTGTTGAATAGGTGGTACTCAAGTAGACTGTTTATCTAATTTGAAAGCATTCAAAGCTCTACAAAACTAACACTTGTAAATTAATCCATATTTCCACCCGCCACACACACCCACACCCCATTATAGTGATGACTGACTACGAATTAGACTTCTTGGAGTGTGTCTAGTGAGAAGTTGTGACCACCAGGATCCATCAAGCTGGTCGTGTGGATAGGTATTCATCGATTATTATATCATTGGTGGTCGACAGTAGCACTGTATATCAGCAATTGACAGAGATGTAAGAATTCACTAGCCTACTGAATTCTGTTTTCCACTGACTAATTGGCCAGGTGTTGTTCACCTTTTAACTCCCGAGCGTCATGGATGTATACTGTTGAAAAGAGTTTCGGACTAGGAGGAAAATGACTGTCCAGTACTGGTTTTCAATAGTGTTCTATTGCTGATAATGGTTCATGATGTAGCCTAACTTGAAATATTCTAATTTTTCTTTACTAAAGTAACCTAAGTGAGATGATTGAGTACCACCACTTTCATAGAGATATTCAGTTTCAACGAGAAATATAAGCCGAATTTACTACAGGTTTTCGAACTTCAAAATTGGACTCAACAATGATATCTTTAAAGTCAGTATTACCTGTGGAATGCAAGACTTATATTTCCCTCTACTATTTCATGGCTCAGTAGCCTAGAAGTTTGTGTTTTTGCGTTTAGAACATAGTATGTCGTGTTTAAGTGTCAGTAGGAACGCTATGATTTAGTAAAGAATATTCAGGTTATCATTTCATTTTATTCCTTTGCGCGTTCCGTGTGAAATATATATATATATATATATATATAATTATGTTTGTAAAGTCTCAGCGAGATTGAAATGAATAATTCCAACGTTTCGTTCGGCAATCTGGTCCGAACTTCTTCAGGGAAATTAATCGAAATTAACATAACAGAGGTTTATATATAAAAAGGAACATCACTTGTTTTTAAAAATTTGTCCAATCATGAGTCATTCAACGAGTATCAACAAGTAAAATAAACAAAATTTGACCTCGGACTTACAAATATTGGTCTACCTTTGTTAAACACTTTGAACAGAGTGTGTATGTGTGTGTGGGTAAACAGTTGTAAGACATTTCTTAATGTCTCCATAAGAAGATATGGACAGTCAAGAATTTTAACCAAGTATTAATAATTAGTGATACATATCCATTTTTTATTTATTAATTATTCTGTCAAATCTTGATGACAGTTCATTTGAATTATTTCGCAATCGAGTTAAATTAACAAAGAAACTGTGTAATTGGCACAATCATCGTGTTTTCACTCTCCGTTGGCTGCAACAGAATGCATATCCTAAATCCGTAGCTGTAGAGTCACCTGACAACTCCAGTAGGTCGATCAATCTTCAGAAAGAAGACAAAGCAATAAGTCAGACGGGGTGCTTCTACTAAACTCTAATCCTAAACACCATAATTTTGAAAATACGTCTAATCATAAAATTCTAGATACTAACCGTTTGAACAGCCATGAAGGCGTGATGTTAGCTGATGCATAGGAAATTCTTATTAATAAATAAAAAATGGATATGTATCACTAATTATTAATACTTGGTTAAAATTCTTGACTGTCCATATCTTCTTATGGAGACATTAAGAAATGTCTTACAACTGTTTACCCACACACACATACACACTCTGTTCAAAGTGTTTAACAAAGGTAGACCAATATTTGTAAGTCCGAGGTCAAATTTTGTTTATTTTACTTGTTGATACTCGTTGAATGACTCATGATTGGACAAATTTTTAAAAACAAGTGATGTTCCTTTTTATATATAAACCTCTGTTATGTTAATTTCGATTAATTTCCCTGAAGAAGTTCGGACCAGATTGCCGAACGAAACGTTGGAATTATTCATTTCAATCTCGCTGAGACTTTACAAATATAATTTTTTACAAACGTCTGCTTCTCACTCGGTGCCCAAATATTTTAGAACTATTCTGTGAAATCTTGACGACAGTTCATTTGAATATATATATGCATATATTTATAAATATGTATAGAACCTCGCTTAGATTACTAGCTCACTAGTTTTCTAGCCGGTCCGAAGCCCAGGTGGAACGGACGAGGATGTCAAATCGAGAATCGGGAAGGCGAAAAACACATTCATCAACCTGAAGCCAATCTGGAAATCGTCACTCAGCATGAACGACAAATTTCGGATTTTCAATACAAACGTCAAGTCACTTCTTCTATACGGATCAGAAACTTGGCGGCGGGTGACAAAGAATATTTCCAACAGCCTGTTGCAGACCTTTATCAACAACTGTCTTCGCTCTATACTGAAGATCAGATGGCCGGAAAGAACAAGAACCAATAAGAAACAATGGGAACAAACAAAACAAGAACCAATCGCCCAACCAATATGCAGGAGAAAGTGGAGATGGATTGGACACTCGCTGAGGAGGTCGCTGGGTGACATCACGCGTCAGGCCATAGCTCGAGTGGAACCCGAAAGGGAAGCGGCGAGTGGGACGTCCAAGGGTGACATGGAGGAGATCGTATGAAGAGGAATTGAAACAGTATGGATTAACATGGATGCAGGTGAAACGTACAGCAGAAGACAGAAGCAAGTGGAGATGTGCAGTTGAAGCCGTATGTTCCACTAGGAACCCAAGGGAACAATAAATTAATAATAAATATATATATATATATGTATAGAGCTTCAGTTTGCAATTAATAGTGTTCTCTGAGCTGGTTGGTTTAGTTGCGAAGCTTTCGTCGTCCTTCTGGACAACATCTTCAGCGCAATATTTAGCATAAAGTGAAATGATTTAAATTTCTTCATGAGTGATATAATTGCGTCTCCTGGTAACCATCTTTACATATGTATTGACCATTTTCTATTGACTTGGATTTTAAACTTTCTGGTCACCTGATTTACTTTTTATTAGTTGGTATATTTCGTCTATATTAACGTGTTTGTTAATTGCATTTTCGTTTGAGTACCAGGCTTCTAGGAATTCCCTGGCACTTTTGGTGTTTCCTCTGTCTAAGATTTTGACATTATCCCAATCAAATTGATGTCCATAATTGTCTATATGCATTGATACTAAAGAATACATATCGTGTCTTTTCACGGCTGATTTGTGTTCTTGGATTCTGATTCGAAGGGGACGCCCACTTTGGCCGATGTAATGTCTGTTACAGTTCATACAATTTATTTTGTAAATGGTATTAATTTTATCCCCTTTTTCTGTTGGATCTTTCGGTTTGCATAATATCGAATTAAGCGATTTGACTGGCTTGTGTGCTATATCTATATCAAACGGTTTCAGTATTCTAGCTGTTATTTCAGAGATATTTCTCATGTATGGTAGGATGAATTTTCTTGTGGTCTTTGATGATGGTTCCTTGTTGGTGTTTTGATTCGACTTTAAACACTTTTTGATGAAATTTTGTGGATAACCATTCTTTTTGAAGACCGTTTGTAGGTACTTTTCTTCCATTCTTTTCAACTCTGGAGTGCTACAATGTGTCTGAACTCTTTTAAACAATGTCTGCACACAGTTTCGTTTGTGAGTAACTGGATTATTGCTAGTATAGTTGAGTATTTGATCTGTGTGCGTTGATTTTCTATATACTTGTGTTTCTAAATTTCCTGTGTTGGTTCTCCTGATTAAGACATCTAAAAATGGGATTTTGTTATCTAATTCTTCTTCTCTTGTGAATTTGATGTCTTCAAATATGTTGTTTATTAATTTGTGGGTATATTCTAAATCATTTCTCTTAATTATTACAAATGTATCATCAACGTAACGTACCCAGATTTTCGGTTTAATTATAGGTAGAGCTATTAATTCTAATCTTTGCATAACGGCTTCAGCTATTAATCCTGATATGGGCGATCCCATTGGTGTTCCTTTTATTTGTTCATATATTTGAGTATTGAATTGGAAGTATGTTGTAAGGCATAATTTTATGAGTTCTATCCAAGTTGAACATTGCGTTTTTATGTTTTCATCACTATAGAGTAATTGTTGCATAGTTTCTGTTGCTAGTTTTGGACTAATTGAAGTATATAATGCTGTGACATCAAAGGACACCATTATTTCATTGTCTTCTACTTGAATGTTTTTGATTTTCTCTAAAAATTGGATTGACGAATTGATAGAATGGTCACATGATTCTGTTAGGTAATTTAATTTCCTGAAAAGTTCTTTAGATAGATTATATGTTGGTGTTCCTGGAAGCGAAACGATTGGTCGTAAGGGAATGTTTGGTTTGTGTAGTTTTGGTCTACCATAGAATCGAGGTAAAATAGGTCCGTTAGATTTCATTCGCCACTGATCTTGTTCTGTAATTTGTCCTGATTTCGTTAGTTTATTTAACGTTGTTCTGATTTTGTTATCTAATGTTTGTATAGGGTTTTTTGTCAACTGTTGATATACATTATTATCTTTGAGTAAATCCTCTGCTTTCTTTATGTAGTCTTCTGTGTCCAGGATTACTGTTGTTCTTCCTTTATCAGCCGGTAGAATAACTATATCTTTTCTATTCTTCAGTTTCTTCAATGCATTTTGCTCTTCAGTGCTAAGTTGGGAATTATGTCTTTTCTGTTTGAGTATAGGTATGATACACTGACGTATTTCTTGTTGTACTTCCTCATTTAATTTTGATAATTTGAGTGATGATTCTAAGGAAGCACAAAAATCTGTTACTGAAGCGTCACCAGTATTGTAGTTGAGTCCTTTCTGAAGAAGTTGTTCTTCTGCTTTCGATAATGGTTGTTTGGATATCTTAGCTAGTTTTCCTTTGAGGACAACTCGTCTTCGTTCCTTGTGTCGTTCGCTTAATATTTTAATGGCAGTATTCAATGTTGACAGATGTTCTGGCGTAAGAGTCTGTTCAACCTTTTCTTTATGGAATCTAATCATATGCTGGTATTTTTTAATCCTATTGTGTGCATCCGTGATCATTAATTTCACCATTTTTTTCCATGTTGTTTGGCTAATTTCCAGCCTAGAGGACAGTTAATTGATGATTTATATTTGACACTAGCTGGTAAAATCTGCTGGTGGAGAAATTCATGAAGAAAGAATAGTTGTTCTTCTGTAGAAACTTGCCTTTTAGCAAAGTCTTCCCATTTTCGACACCAGAGCTTCAATGCCGAACATTTTAAGTTTCAGTAGCAGTGATGCCTTAGCGTTTTACGGGTTAGGGTTGTCAGTCTCACACCCAATCCTGCCTGTTTATCAGGCTTTCAATCGGCTAAGCGACGTTTAAGTATGTATCGGCCGGGATTGTACCCTCGGCCACATGAGGCGTGGTTGGTGAGTATTCTACCACTGGAACCACTGATGCACTGAAGAGCATTCAGATATCTTTAAAGAACGAGAAGAAATGTACGTTTTGAGATTGATATTCACCTGATAACCAGCACTAAATATGATATGTGTAACGCTTCATTTGTCGTTTGTTTTCACAATTGTCATTAGAAATACATGTGTCTGTTTTCACTTGAAATAGACGATCTGGTTTCATGCTCATGTATGATAGATGGCATGGATGAGGATGTCAAAACCAACTAGGGTCGAATCGGATCGGGGAAGCGAAACAGGCGGTGATTTTTGCATAGAACTCTCTTTGAAGAACTGAAACACTTAGCACAAGAAATAAGAATGGGGATGTTTCACGATAATAGTATCATATCAGTACTTCTTAGTCGTTCAAGGACCTAGTACTTCACCGGGAACATTTCCAACAGGCTACTTGAAAATGATTTGGATATAAGACTGATGGAACCTTCAAGTGACATCACATCAGGCTTTCTAGTGGAAGCTGAATGAAAAGCAACAGGTTGGATGTGCTAGAATAACTTACAGAAGATCATGAAGTGTGGAAAAAACGAACGTTTGTGGTCAGTCGTGAAAATGGTGGCAGAGAATTTTGCATTGAAGTACAGTAGTTTAGGCTGTCAGCCACCATCCAGCATGCATATGGTGGAGGAAAAAGAGCGAAGCTAAAGTGTCATAGCTAAAATCACAGTGACCTTGTACAACCAATCAGAATTTAGATGCAACAAAAGTCACATAGTCATTGAGAGATGTATTAAAAACGTTTTAAACATGATATTACATTGGACAATTTTCTCTAATGTGTTGTAGAAATGTCTCTCAGTTTCTTCAGGGATAATCCTCAGAGATATCTTACCACAACCGATACATCTATTCATCGAGGTAGGCTCCTGTAAATCTTACTACTTTGGGATCCACTGATATTCTTGATTCTTTCCCTCTCCCTCACCCAAAATCCTTCGAAAGAATTAGTTTGGGTGCCTGTGATCGGATCCACGACATCGGAGGAGTGGTTGTCAAGATGGTGAATATAACCCAAACTAGTTATATCCCCTCCATTCGTCAATATATGTGTGGTCGTTCCTGGCATTATCAAGCGCTGAACAATTGGAATTAATACCCCGGTACTTCCTTTATTGGGCATTGTTTCCACTAAACCTTTACGTACTGAGTGAGGCGTCGTATATTCCAAGCACCCAAACTTGATTAGCCCTTCTCGCTGCCCTGTTACACTTCTTCTTTATGAGGACAGTTTCATCAATTTGAACGATCGCACTACCCTTACTTCTCCTCCGAGGAAGGTGGTGATTCTCTCCAACTTCCATAATGTTATGTCTCTACAATTCTGATACTGTAGTACTGCAGAGACACCGGACTGTTTTCCAGCTGGTGCTGCCCTTAAAACAGGCCTTTGAGAAGTTCAACAATGTATATGAACCGTAGGAAATTTTACAAAGACATTTTAGATTTGGAGGAAAAAATACCTAGGGAATAAGTGAAATACTCCACACCTACCCTCACAAACTGATTTTCTCGTATAACATCAATGACATGCATAGCAGTATTTATCTCCCACAAGGTCATATTGTGATAGTCTGCCTCAACCCACCATACACACACAGAGACGTCTTCGTCACTGTAATTAACACAGTAGTTAAATACTCGATCTCCATGGAACACATTAACCAAAGCCATAAAGGCAGGCATAATTTCGATTCGGAATAACCTTCCGTGGTATCCTCTCAACCTGATTGGTTCTTCAAGATCAACTTTTCGAAGGTCTTGACTTTGGCTACGATAGTTGTTTAACTTCTCCGAGAAAAATATTCAAAAGAACTATTATGAACAGAAATATATTCGGAATTGAAGAGCAGTAATATGTGGAAATATAGGGATTCAATCAAAGAGTGAATGCATCTGCACCATTCATTGGTTGGTCCTTAGCATCCCTTGGTTCCCAACCAGGTAGGTAGTCTACATCCCTCCCGTCCCCCACACCTGTTTGTGGCTCATAAATGGAATTTGTAAATCCTACTGGGAAAACAAACTTATGAGTAATAATGAAAATCTAAGTCAATCAATAATAGTTGCAAAATAAAGATTTTCAAGTTCTCGTGTTTTATTTTTAATTCATCACTTTTAATGGTTAGGAGTGAAACATACATTCTTTTTTTTCCTCATATCCCATATATAGGACACTTTCTTTTTAAGCGCTGAAGAGTGTATTACAGCTGCACACTTTCAAAATCTGTATCCAAATATCTGTCGTCTTAGTCCAGATGGGTGTTTCGGATCGAAATTTGTCACTGTTGTCGTCACCGGTGATGCATCAAATCATATCCATTTTGAAGCTTATCAAGTGAGTAATCAAGCTATGGCATTGGAGAAGGATAATATTTTAGTTCCAACGTATGATGCACCTGAATTGGGTTATATTCGTGAGACTACAAGAGAACAATTTGTACCAGAAGTATTTTATGCGGTAGGTGGTGGCGGTGATGGAGGTGTTTCGTTTATTTATCACTTTTATTTTCTGTTAATTAACTGTTATTCATTCAGAATTCGAACATTTTAACTAGCTTAAGGTGGTTCGTATCTGATGACGTCGGTGTATCGAATGAGTGAGTTGTCATCACCACTACTGGTTATGATTTGAGGGAGTGGTCTCCGACTACTCGCTATCACTCAATTAGTAGTATGTAACTTGATGTATTATTGTTAATTATCTTCATTGAATTATCGTACCTCGCATATATATCCATCTTTTACCAATGGTCAAGTTGAAAGTTGTCACCACTGAACATCTGTGCCAAACGCTAACTGAATAATCAATTGGTTACAGGATTTCATCATGAGTTGACATCGGTCAGAGTACCATTGAAAATCTAGCAGGGAGTACTGGATAGCTGTTTCTTCCTAATCTGGTACTCCTCACCAGCACGCGCCCACCACAAGAGTTCGAACCTATGACCTTCCAGTTACAGGGCGAGTGCGTAGACCATTAAGCCACTGGGACCTCCTGATCCAATGGCCCATACATTCTAACTTCTGCCAATTCACCATATAGAGCGACCACTAGCCGATGTTTAAGAGCTCGCTTTGTAACCTGTAAGTCCTGGATTCGAGCCCTGGTGGGTGCGTACTGGTGAAGAGCCTCCGGCTAGGAAGAAACAGCTATCTAATATGCTCAGCTGGTTTTTGCGATGGCTCTCTAATTGATGTCAGCTCATAATGAAATTCTGTAACCAATGTAATCCCTGCAAACCAACATTTGAATAATCAGTGGTAGAACTTTGAAATAAAGTGCAGCAGTTGAATATGTTCCACTTTGTAAAAGTGCATATTAAGTCACAAGGAAGAAATGCACAAGAACCATAGTAACAAAAAATGTGCAATAGGAAGAATGATTCTGACGAAGATTTAATGAATGTGTAAGTTGACAAGAAGTGAATTCACTTGAACCATTGAAAATAATTTTGAGTCATGTTACCAACACTCTCCAACTATTTGTTCTTAGTAGCTTTGCAAAACTATGGATCTCCTTATAAACGTTCTCATTGTTATATTATAATTATTATTCCTTTAGACTCTAAGCGAAACATAGGACTTCATTAACAGCATTTGTTGACCGTATCCTGTTGTCTTCAGTCCTCTGTGGCTGGCTCCATGGTCGCCCATAATCTCTAACCGTTATCTCGCACAATTTCCTCTATGTTACCTTCACATCTATGCACAAATTGTCGCTTCCAGTTCGACTTCCACTTTAGGCCTAGCCTGGCGCGTTATTTCACTCAAATGAGTGTCCTCAGCGTATGACCATTCCATCTCCATTTTCTCTAGTATATTTGTTGAGCAATAGGTTTCTTGGTTGGTTCGTTTTCTAACAAGAGTTTCTTGTTGCTTTTTTTTTGTTTTGACTGGCCATTTGATTCAACGAAAGCAGCTACAGTGCCACCTGTTAGAAATTATCTTCGTCACGGATGCGCCAACTCTAAACACAATCACTAGTGCTGTTACAATATTCGCTCGATGTAAATTTATTCAACCGATGGTATTTTTCACTTATCATACATTAACAAATACTGCAAAAAAAAAACACCACGATACTACATACTACTAATAGATTGATATGAGTAGTTGCATCCACTCAAATCATACTGTAGCGCTTAGCAGACCCATTAGTTATGATGCAGATGCCCAAACAAAAAGCAACGGACTGCTATTCCATTTTGTGAAAATGTTACTGGTTACTGTACAACCACTTGCATTTCCATGCAGTTAGCAATGAGCCATACCTCTTGTATGGAGAGGAGATGACACTGACTAGCTGAACAAACCTCTGTTGGTGGAATGGGATTCAAGCCCGTGAAGAACTGGTTGGAAGTTGAGCACCTACGTCAATGGGCCGCAGGTTCATTCCATCTCCTATAACTTTGACTTGGCTTAACTGGTGCTGTTGTATTCTATTATTCATAGATTTATAACTGTAGAACTTGAAGAAGAAGAAGAAGTTATTGACTAAAAATATTTAACCTCAAAATGTTTCTTGTTTTGAAGCCAAAGCAGATGGTGAATTACCACCTTGAACTGTGTGTCTAACCTTTGCTAATTGTGACAGAATAGACATAATCTGTCATGTCCACTTGATGCATCTTCTGTCTATTGGTGGAATGTAATCCAAATGACTGTGAAACTCTCGGGTCCTAAACTAGACATCATTCATCAAACTGCTACCTCCAAAGAATCTTACTACTTAATAATATTTAGTAGTGGAAATAGTATTCATAATTTTTTATTGGCATGTGATTTGCTCGTGCCAGATTGCAATACACCGAATTCCAGGTTAAAAATAGAGAGGGACGTTATAGAGCATGTTGGCCACTTAACTTATCTACAAATCTTCATAGGCCGCAGTGGACTGATTAGTGATGAAATCTCAGCCTGGACACAAAAGGCTTTTGCGCCATTAGCCAACATACGTCATCTCTGACGAAGGCCTGATATCGGGCTTTCGATCAAACGACGTGCACACTGTGCATGAGTTCACTTCTTCTTCTTCCTTTTTGGCTGTGAGACATGGCCATTGAAGATGTGAAAAGGCCAGTTGTCTTTGATCACATGTATATTTTCATCCCATCTCGTGTGGTAAGGAGGGATATTCAATCAATGAGCTTATTCAGCCACATCAATCCAGATGGATAGGGCAAATGTCGATCGTGCGGAGTCGTCGCTTTCCTCAATGTGCAATGCTAGTTAACAAGTAATTAGGTAGGAAAGGAGTTGGCGATGATCAAACGAAAACCCGTCACCAATCCATGAAGTTATTGACAGTCGATTTGAACCAGCCAAGTAGGGAGGTGTAGACTGTCTGGTTGATGTCCATGGGATTCTAAGAACCAATAGCTTGAGATCAGTAGTGTTCTCAGTGGCGCAGATGTATAGATTCCCTATGATTCCCTATATCCACCTAACCATCATCTTTTATTCATGGTACTGTTCTTTCTCCCTCACATTACTGCTTATTTTTCCTATTTTCCCTAACTATGCGTGCTACATGAATGGAGTTCCTCACTTCTGTGCTAATTTCTATGTTAAAACTGACTCAGTCAGTCAGTCAGTCGAATCTTTTATTCGCGAACTTATGTGGTCACTGTCATTTAGCCTACAGCATTAAGTGTAGGTGTTCAACAAAATCCGTTGATAATTGAAATATAATCGCACATATTACTTATCGATTTTTAAGTACTTTTAGTTTCCTGTGTTTTCTAATTACTTAGGTTAGTTTGTTAATGTGGATGGTAGTTCACAAAAATTGTGCACGTTAGATCAGGCTGTCCTTAGTCCAAGGGATGTCACAATCCAGTGGCTGATACCTTGATGTGGTGATTCGGGTTGCATATCGCAATAATTCAACGGGCTGAACTGACTGGAAAGAAGTCTTATGGACTTCCTCCTAAACCATAAATGTTGACTGGATAGAGGTTAGATTAGAGACAGTTATTCATCAGTGGATACGTTTCTTGTACTATGGTAGGGGTCTGAAGACGAATTCCTAATGTTTATGATCAGGAGTATAACAGGGGGAAGATGTCTGTCTTGGGCAACGAACAAGTTACTAATACCACCCCTTCTTGTTCTCCGAAAGAGTGTGGTTGGAAAATTCCTACATCTTAACTTACCCTGAGGTGGTTGAGAACTCAAGAACGGAGCTTTACCTCCGAAAGGGAGCATGTGGGACCAGTTACAACCAGCTGTCCATCTCCCCCCTAGTCACTCAGAACTAATGCTTCTACTCTTTCAAGTACTCCATAAAGGAATCAACCTTCAGGGTGTACGATCTAGAAAGTGGAAACCACCTACAGGCTTTCGTGGTTTTTAAATGCATTCTCATAATCACTATCCCTCTGTTTGTTTTCTCTCACCGATAATTCTCTTCCCAAAACAGTTTCTTTATCTCCTCTTATTCCTGTGAATATTGTCATTGTCTGTTATAATCACGTCGCCAACTTCGTATTGAAACCTTCAACCGAACTAAACTGTATGTGACGTAGAGCATATTATGCGAAGTCAAGCGTCGTACTAGAATTCATGTAGCCACCCACCTAAGAGCTTTTAGAGAGTTGTCGTTGGAAGTGACAGTAAACAGTAGTATCCGTTTGAGAGGTATACAGGCGAATCTGATTTGTCAACTCAACCGACGATCGATTTACTATCAACAAAAACGCCTAGTTGATTATACATCACTCAGATAGTACAATCTTTTAATGACAAAGATGCTGATTTGCCCACAGTTCGAGATAAAATTTCACCACAGTTTCCTTGGAGACAAACCGAAATTATTCATATCTGGTTGACGTCATAAATGTCAGTCAAGAGAGTAAGCATAATTGAATCACACCTTATACTACTGACTAACTGAAATGAGTAGCTGGATACTACTCACATCAAACCCGTATTGCCTACCAATCAGATCGAAGTAATTCAAACACTAGACAGTCATTTCACACTTTTGCAGCCCGAACTTATCAGCTCCCCTGAATTCAAGTGCTGAGTCAAACCGGTTACACCACCGATGAGCTGGGCTCGCAAACTAACAAAATGGCCATCTAGTAATCCCAACACTTCGATCTGGCTAGCTGTCGAGTGAGTGCTTCCTTACTACTCATATCAGTCAATCAGTAGTACATAATATCGAACGAAAACGCTCACTAAACGTAAACTTCTTCTAAACGACCTGAGAGTTGTGTTTTATCCCTGCCAAATTAATGATGTTGCATAACTGTCCCGATTCAACCCCCCAGTTTATTAACTGCAAGTGAAGTAGTTGATTATGTTGAGTTTTACATGTGCAAGAAGTTGCATCGGTCTAAAGTCAACTGGTTGCTGGTGAAGTCTGGGAACGGAATGCACAAGGTTCAGTTGGCAGATGTCAGGTTCCCTTGTATTGCTCGTGCTTAGTGTAAAAGTCATAGCGAAGTCAGGTGTATAGTATGTAGTTGAGTAAAAAGGGAGAGGAAATCCGTCGATGAGGTGATATTGTGATTACTAGGACATGTTTTGTGTCCACTAAGCGACATCCTTCTTCGCTTACCAATGTTAGCTGTAATGCGATGAGATTGGAGAGTTGTTTGTGGTGATCAGACTGAAAACGTGGCATCTATCCATAAAGTAATTAACCAGTGGGATGAAACACACTGAGTTGTTTAACCCTCAAGTACCCAGAAGAGATTTTCCATACTTCAGGTTAAGAGGCAGACTTACCATTTGAGTGCTGATAATACTACCCAATTGCCCAGGCTAAACGTATGCAGAGGAAGAGTCGAACCTATCACCCATCGGCTGAAAGCTCAGTGCCTTAGCCGATGAACTAGATTAGTAGGCATAGGTTGAACATTTGAGGTATTCAGTATGCTCAGAATCAATGCCTGTATAGAGTCTTGGTGATGTGACGCGAAATCTGTTCACTGCTTGTATCATCACTCAATTCCTGCCAGTATTAATTTATACTTCTTCTCTCTCTCTCTCCCTCTCTATGCACATCTCAGCCGCATATCTTTGTTCGTTGTAGCTACATGTAGCAGTTGTATTTTATGATTTAGCACTTTGAGAATCTCTGTTTTCGCCATTTTAGTATGTTGTAAGTACATTTCTTAGAGTTATTACAAAGAATAAATTTAGACGTAAGAAACTGTGATTCACTTAAAGTACTATTATAAAATAAATGAACTTAACAATAACAGTAGAAATAATACAGAATTCATGTATTTTCACACTGAGCTGTACTTTTAAAAATAGTTTCTGTTATGCATTTTATTATCATGCTCATCACTTATATCAAATAATTATACTCAAAAATTTGTTGTTCAACACAACTTTGACTTGCTTGACACGCATATCGATAGAACATCAGTTAGCTAGTCAGGTGGTTAGTTAGTTAGTGTTGGTTAGTTGGTTCGAGCTCATCTGGTAACGGGTTATAAGTCAGACATATTTCATGAGAGCTATTGAAGCTAAATGGTTGCATTCTTGCTTTTCTGATAGAAAGCAGTAATAATAATAATAATCTACTTTATTCCAAAAACAGTACTTGTAATCCAGAATGGAATTCTCGGCATTTGTCACAATGTTGCATCTGATTTGCTCCAAATATAAATAGAATTAACCAGAGTAATTTGTCCACATTTACGGTATAAACTCAAAAATAAGGTTGTAGAGCTACCTTAATGCTACAGTGTGTTCGTGGTTCCAGGGTAGGATGCTCGCCAACCACGTACGCACGCACGTGATATTGGTCCGACTCCCAGCCGATGCATTCTCTGAAACCTCGCCTAATCAATCGGTAGTAATCCCCTTATAAATGGAAGTTTAGGCATGTGAGTGCGTCTAGCAACCTCCACCCCGTTAAAAGAGAAACTACACGATCCATATTGAAACTTCAAAGACTGAATCTTGAAGTTTGGTGTATGTTCCAGTTTTGAATGTAAAGAAAAATCGAAAAGTAGACTACTGTAAATAAGTTAAAAGATGCATAGTTAAACTTTCAACACATGTATTTGTTATGATATTTATTTTATTGGAGCATGTCTTCATTCCGACATCTTTCGTAGTCTATTTTGATCTGACATTTATGCAAGTATGCGTAGGACATCATGTGTAATCCATAAAAGTAATCGTAGTTGTATTGATTATATGCTATTTTAGTTGCGTTGCATCGATGTTTTACACTGTCTCATATATTTAGTAACCACGGGTGTTTTTGTTCTGTCTCTCGTGTTAGAAGGTATTATATTAGGCGTTAAGATGCTATGTAGGCGTTGTGAAGTCCTCACCACCCTATTCAAACAATGTTAACTGAAATAACCATTCGGTTGGAAACGAGTTAGGACATCAACCCATAAGGTCAGTTTGTATGTGCCACACGAAGAGGTGTAGACTGCCTGATTGGGTTCCTAGAGATGCTAAAACCCAAGTGATGTAGTTCAAAATCATCTCATTGTAAATTCACTCTGTGATATTCCATATCATCCGTTCCGCCTGTGTGTAGGTGAAGCGATGCTGCCTAGGTAGATAAGTGAAGAAAGTTACGTCTTTCAAGTTCCTCCCGTGCTGTTTGTTGTTGTTGGTTGGTAGGTTGTCTTCATCATTTCCGTCTTCTCTATGTTTACCTTTTTTTTCAGCCAGTTTGTTGGTTTTCACCTGTAAATCTTCGAGTCTGTGTGAGTGACATTAAACATAAATCATCTGCACAACCCATGTCTGCTGGAATCTTCTCTTCGGTTCAACGTATTCTTGTCTTCTCATTTGCAAGTACTGTCTGACGCATTATTCTGTTCACCACAATTAAGAATATCATCGGGGATAATAGACAGCCAGCCTTGTCTTACTCCTGTATTCACTTTGAACGCTTCGTTGATTTTTCTGTTGTGGATCATCTGACACGTGGTTTTGTCTTATGGTTGTTGAATGAGGTTGATGAAGACTTGAGCAATGCATGCCATAGTGCTGAAGTAGTTTCCAAGTTACTTCTCGGTCAACGCTGTCGAAGGCTTTTTCGAAGTCGATGACGTCGAGGTAGAGGTTTGACTGGAATTCCTTACTCTGTTCGATAAGGATGCATAAAGTTGCAATTTGGTCAGCCTGGAATCCCCAGTGAATCCGGCACTAGACCACTGAGATTATATAGATGAAACGATGAATGCTGGTCTCGAATCGCAGTGGGAACATCATTACTCACTGAGGAGACAAGTTTCAAATAGGAGGAGAAAACACGCCTCTTGGATTCTACTGCTAGGCAACAATGAATCATGAGCCGGTAAAATAATCCTTCTCCTAATTAAAATATGGAGATTTTTCTTCCTGTGTTAATTAACGTCCTTCATTAATAATAAATCACTCCTCTCGTTTTTTTCCTGGTCTACACTTATTTTACAGACAAAGGATAAATATGGCAATCGTGTAACACGTGTAGCTCGTCCTTTACCAGTGGAATTTTTACTCATCAATATGCCAACTGCTTTCCCAATTGAACCAGCGTATACAATGGCTAAAATACCGAATGACTTTCCTGCTAATTGTCGTTTTCCTATTGAAAATCGTGAATGTCTTGGTCAAATTCAAGTGAGTTTTATACTACCATTATTATTACTATTATTATTATTATTAAAACAAAACTTGATACATTTTGGGATTCAAGAGATGCGCCAGACAAAATCTTATCTGTCGGTCGGTCGGTTTTCGACATAGAACTTTGCACATATGTTCGGCAGTTCAAGTCGCCACACTCCATGTAGCACACAAAACAAGAGAAGAAAGTAGAAGAAATGCATAATATAGACAGTAAACAGAGGTGTGAGAAAAAGGAAAAGTAATAACGAAGAACAAAACAGTTTAATTGGAAATCATAAGTCACAAGGAGTGGATGCATCTGCGCCTGCCACTGAGAACGATTTTGAGCCATGTCACTAATTGTTTCCAACCATTGGTTTTTACCGTCCCGAGAACCCCAACCAGGAAGTCTACATATTTCTACGTGGCTTAGACTAACTGTCGTGGATTTGATTGACTGGTGCCATGTTTTCGTTTGACCGCCGCTATGCCTTTTCCAGCTTGGCCCTAACATTGCCCGTCGAGGAGGGCGATGACTAGGCATATGTAACACATGTCCCAACCATCTCAGTCGATGTAATTTCACAGTCTCGTCGACTGATTTCCCCGCCTTACCTATCACTCGACGCCTAACCTGAATATTGCTCACCTTATTATACCACTTCACGCGGGAGATAGAACGCAGACACCTATGATCGAAGACAGCTAATCTTTTCATGTCTTCTGCTCTCAATGGCCAGGTCTCACAGCCATAAAGGAGGACGGAGCGGACTGTTGAGCAGTACACACGCCCTTTGGTCGATAGTCGGATGTCACGTCTACGCCAGAGACGGCGTAAACTGGCATATGCGAGCCTAGCCCTCTGTATTCGTGCTGAGATTTCGTCGGAGACAAAATCTTATACTTTATGCGAAAGGTATCATACAACCAGGACGCCCAAACTGAAATAGATGGTTGTCTGAAAAAGGCTAACCCCGCCACCCCGCAGGTCTTTAACCTGGTGTTTGATCCACAAGGCAGCAGAGTGGAGTCAAAAGCTACGCGTTCCCATGGTTCCCGATAACCAAAGCAGGTCCATACATTATTCAAACCTTTCGGATTGTGGAGCCCATATACGTGCACTATAGCTTTGGAATCAGTATTTTCCAGCTCACTCTAGATAGAGACCTACAACACATGTCCATCAGTCCGGTTGTAGGTGCCGAATATTCGCATTCACCCTTTCACTTTTGTGAGGAGCAGTCCTGTTGCTAAGTCAAGGTGGTGAATAGGATTTACCTGGTAGAGGGTGTGAACGCGTGACCGAATTAGAGCCATACGAGAAGAGGATTGAAGTCCATCCACCTATTCTCAGAAACCACAGGAAAAGTCATCCTGCCGTATATATATATATATATATATATATATATATATATATATAAAGGATGTTTCTGAAATAACATATAGAATAATAAAATCATTAGGAATAGATATCACACTAACCAGGACAATCACTTCATTCAATACTACTACGGAACAAAAGAACTAAATGAGAAAGAAGACAAGATCAAAATGAATCTCATGAACTGCCATAAATACTGAATTAATCAAAGTGGGCATCCCCTTGAACTCAGAGAGTGCAGTCGCATCATAATCACGGGAGTATTTGGTAGTGACATAGTCATTTGCAGAAAGGATGAACAGTTATAATGAAATACACAAAAAACCTTATTACATTGAAATCTCTGTTTGCACATGTACTTCTGTTGTCCTTTCTTCTATGTTTTTTGTGTGTATTCTTTCACAATGGGTTTCCCATTTCTCCTTTTTCACCGTCTAATCTGTCGCTTGGATATTCAATAATTATTGCAAAAGGCGAGGTCACACGCTCACAATATCCTACTTATTAGGTTTTGTCAGTAGCACACGTCATACAACTTCTTCTGTCACTACACCAGTTAACAATGGTTTTTATGGTTTACTTTGACTCTGGTACTGTCAAATGCCTATATTTCAATATAATTATGTCATTCATATTTGTTATCTAACCTACGGTTAGTTGTCTGCACGTAACCAGCAAAGCATACCTCACTACTATCAGCCAATGGGATAAGAGTTTAATCCCCTCTGCAACCTTAACCCAACCAATTCTGGGCATTTGGGTAGTGCCATCGGCTGTCCAACTTTAAGTTTGCCCTCAAAGCATAGCTCGTTACATATAAAAGCACGTTCTTAAATAAGTAGTGAGACATCGTTTAACTCAAGGATAATGACAAAAGTTGTTTGTAAAAATGTTTGTACTTTTACTTGGAGAACTTTATCCACAACAAAAGCCTAGTCGTAGCGAAGAATTGAAAAATGCATCAAATGTTTGACCTCTTCCTACTGTTCTATATTAAATTTTGACTTTTTGTAGGGATTTGATTGGTTTCAGTATAGATTTGAGAACTCAGGAGCACTGGTTATCCGTTTTGTCTTAGTTTGAGGCTCTTCAGCAGTGCACAGTCATGATCCATCCTACAAAGGATTGGACCCGTGACCTTCTGATGTCAAGGTGACTCATTTGACTATTTAGTCACTGAGTTAGAATTGAATGATTCACGGATTGCAATTTCTGTGAATTCGTGATATGGTAATATGATATTAGATAGTTGGAGGCAATCGGCAGGAAGCCTTGGACCTAGGTTTCGTGCTAGTTGGCACTCATCAGCAAGGCGTATCTGCGACCTTGAAGGAACTCATGTCCCTTCTGAGATTTGAACCCGCGTCACCCAGTGCTGCAGTCAGATATGGTAATATACCAATGACCCTAGTGAATCTGGTCTCTTAACCTGGCGCACTCCTGAAGCATCCATATAGCTGCTGTTACGCCTTGATTTTCCCCAGCTGATATTTTAGTTCTTGACAAAATCTACATCGAAATTGTCTGTACTCGTATTGTATCTTGGGGTGACCAGTATCGCTGTGTATAGATTTCTTCATGCAAAAACCAAATGTTTCTACAGAATAATATGAGGCCATCATTTATTTCGTTGGATTGTCTTCAGCTGCTTACAACCTAAAAGTTGGTTGTGTAAATGTACACAGAACTTTGTCATAGTTACAAGGATCAACATGATTTTTGTTAGCAGAGACACATGTTAATGAACAACACTAAGAATTTCCACTTCTGTAACTTATAAAGGAGATCAAGGTTCAAACAAAATGCAAACACACAAAATTAATGGTCGGATACATAGAAAATAGAATTGCATAGTGAAGATAAGAGGCGAGAAGTTGATGATTGAGATGAAGGGATGAGAAATCGAGTGAGCAATGCAAAGAAAGACTAATAAGCCAATCTTTCTGAACACGTCAGGTTTTAAACGTTCAATATTGGTTACTTCGGCTGATTTGAAGAGAGGAGAGTTGTATTGTTTATTAATAATCTTGAAGGATTTCATACTGTCCACCTCATCGCCTGTATCAACAAGATCTCTGGCAGTAGCACTGTCCAAAGCATTTGTTCGCTTGAGACGTAAACGTTTTGGTACATGTTCAGCGAATCAATTGAAGATAAGTTCTTCGTTCTGTTCCCCAATTGATGCGCAACACTTTTCTTACATGAGTCGCAAACGATAGCTGTTTTCTTGACATACTGACTGGTCGGGCTTGTATATCGCTGTCGCTCGATGAGCTATGCTGCCTGGAACGTGTGTTCTTGTTTGGATATTGGTTGGACTAAAAGCAGGTATTATCACAGTGTTAGTCGTTTACACTATGTTCGGGGTATGGTCGGAATATGTGTGCCCTTCAGGTGACCGATTCTCCGCTCTTAGGACAGGTGGCTGAAAACAAATGTCGACCCCGAATATTGTACATTCCGGCCTACTTTGTGGCGGCCTGTAGCCAGCGGTATGATCCTTATACGAACACACTAACAGATCGTGTGTATGTGTGTATGTGACAGGCCTGTAACATTCGTCCCCTGGCATCTGCAGTCACGCAGCACTAATTCTCTAGTGTAGGCAATCGGCAAGTAACAACCACCACCCCGCCACACACACACACACATCCACTAAGCTATAATGAAGAATGACCCAATAGGCAAACATCTATGACTAATTATATAGAAGTATCGCATAGATGAACAGAGATTGTAAACAGCATTTCTGCCATCAGATTGATTGAATTAGTCACACAGTGATTTATAATAATAGTTATAAAATCAATATGCCTTTTCTACATTTGTAGTATGTTATCTGTTCATTTGTAGTGTGTGTTGTTATATGTTCGTTGATCAGTTGACAAACTGAAATAAAAACTGTTTTTCCGATGTAATAGAAACCTTGAAAGTGTGTGTTAGTTACATCGAACTCTCGGCATACATTAATTTGTATGTCTGTCTGTCTGCTCGTGTGTGTGTGTATTTGTGTGCGTGAATACTTAATCTTAAGACTGTCATTCTATTCTTCTTGATTATTATTATTATCACCATTGGCCGAATAGTTTTCAAAGTCACATTGCACTTCACTTGCATAATAATAATTATTATTATTATTATAATCATTTATGCTTAACAACTGGTCGACAATCGATATCACAAAAAGGTCACCATGTGCATTAAAATTCTGTAGACTAATCATGAAGATAAGAATGAAAATAAGTTAAAAATTCACTTTTATAGGTGATTTCTTCATCAAATAATCATTACTTTGACTATCGTTGTTCACCTGAAATTGTTAAAGACGAGAGATTATGGAGATTTCTTGATTCTTATTGTTTGATTTGAAAATCCCCGTGGAATCATACAATCAGGAAAGACGTTCGCGCTCACTGAAGAGTTAATCTCTTTTCGGCGATATCATTCTCCACCTGCACAATCACTGATATATGTGGTAAACTATCGTAGCAACAAAAGGAATACTTTCAGAGCTGTGTCATTAGAATTGTAAATTTAAGATAACAAATTACATGTTGTAGGAAGTGTTAACCGGGTAGGAGCTAAAGTAAAATAAAATAAGTAGGTTGAGTGACGCAATATAATTGACGAC